CGTTCGTTTATACAAACAAAATACATTGAACGATTTTCGTTTCTGACTTTTCGAAACTATAATTACACAAACAAAATACAAAGGCTTTTTGTTTTTGTATTCTTGCTACTACCGTGTGTGAATTTGCCTTGATGGCATCAACTCAATAATTTTATACGATTTACGTGTCACGGAATTTTCTTTTGTACGACTACCGATACGTTCACGGAACGCTGGATTCGATCCCAGCTATTCTTTAGCTAATTTTGGCTTATTATACACGGTGTGTCCCAAAAATAACCGAACTTTTTGGATATAAAATAAAATACACACTATATTATCTTTCAAAGTTATTATTTATTAAAAATTGGTTCCATTTGACTCAACACAACGTTTGGAACGATCAACCAGCGCATGCATAGATTTTTTTTACGGCTGGGATATCATCATAAAATGCTCCCTTCATCTTGGTTTTCAGTTTTGGAAATAAAAAATAGTCACATGGTAATAGATCAGGCAAATACGGAGGATGGTCGAGGAGAGAAATCCCTTTTTTCATTCAAAATTCGAGCGATTTTTTGGTCGTCATTTAATTCATGTGGAACAAGTTGCGCACAGACCTTTCTTTTCCCCAAATCTTCAGTTAAAATTCTCCAAATAGTCTTTTTACTTGTATTCAATTCCTCAGCCAACATTCTCGTAGTAAAATTTTCATCGATACCTATGATTTCACGGACTTTTTCCACCAGTTCAGCACGATTACTAGTTTCTGGACGTCCTGCTCTAGGGTCGTCATTTAAATCCTCACGACCCTTTTTAAATCGTGTAAACCACGTATAAACTTGCGTACGACTCATACAATTATCACAATAAACTTTTTTCATTAATTTTTTTTTTTCAAGTTTGACAGAAAGTTTTATGTTTGCTCTTTGTTCCATTTTATTTTTGAACCATAAGCACATTTTTGGCTTTATTGAAATGGCCGTCACTTTTACATCTGTCATCCGACTTACATGATGTTAGGTGCGTTTGAAAGAGGATGAATGTATTGCAAATTTTCAATAGATTACGCTGCATGTTGTATAATTTAAATATATAGTTCGGTTATTTTTGGGACACACCGTGTATGTAAAAACTTAAAGTAACAGTTGACTCTTACTATTACTTTAGTTGTCAGATTTTTTTTATACCCGTTTCTCTATCACTTTGGTATTCACCTTCAGCTTTAGGGTAGCAAATTACCTTTGCTGATCGACTTTCTAGATATAAAAAAAACTTATAAGATTTTATTATGGTTTTCTGAAAACAATGTCCCACCAAAAGAACACTTTAATGAACTGAACTTGCGCCCTATTGTAGGGCATATTTATCGTTCGTTCGTTTTTATTAGAATGACGTAAAGTTTATGTCCTAATTATCGTCTTAAACTATTTATATCTATGTACGAATAGAAGTACATCCGTTAACTTTTGAAATATAGTAAGATTGTGGTTCTTGTTATGGTTTATATATATATTGTTTATCCAACATGTATATTTCTTCAATGAAGCTTCTTTGGATATCCATTTAAAGTGTTATCGCTTCATATGCTAACGTCCCACGATCAACAACAACCACAGATATGCAACCACCTTGCAAGAAGGACCTCTTGCCTTGACAATTCGGGGTGCTATAGAAACCGACACAGAATTGCGTATTTATCGGAATTGAAATCAATATCTGTTTGAAATGGTGTCATGAAACCGACTTGATTTTGCTTTTCTCAAACAAATGCAAAACCGATATTCGAATCAGCTGTCATTACATTTGAGCAAAAAGACCAGCATTTAAATTTAATTTTTTTATACTGGTATTAACATATTTGTGATAATTAGAAATAAAATGACTTGGGCAGTGATAGCATTTTTGAAGATAGAAGGATTGGGAGCAATAATCCTGAAAATAAAGCGCAAAATATGTTAGGGACAAAAGGAATCCCCTGGAGCTGTCAGAGTCGATGTAAATGCAATTTGCATTCCGCTTTTACATTTGCGGATCCAAAATTTTTTCTACGAGTATAAATTCATAGAACAATAGTGCTGGATGTCATTGAAGATAAGTTAGATAGCCAGTGTTACTGCCCCACATGTGCTCCAACTTGCAGCCACTCTACGGTTTTTGGCAGAAAGCTCCCGTTAACGATCTGTGTAATTCAAATTATCTCGCTGGATAATTTTAGGAATGAACGACAATAATGAGCGGAGAGTTCGGGGCCAATTTTATATCAAGTGCTTGTTGTAAAACCCATCGTTCATGACTTACTTTTTAATAAATTTCCGTTTGCAAATAATTATATCTACGAATAACTGATCAGTTTAATTCTGATATTTAAACCGATAAACCGGTTCCTGTAACACTTAAAATCGATACAAATTCTGTTTCGAAAATGAAACCGATATGCAAATCAATAATCGGAATGTGTAATCCCTTCAACAGAATTTTGTCGGTTTCAATACTGATTCCGACAACAATCGGCTTCTGTAACACCCCTGAATACCTTGATGAGCAAACCGATGTTGCAGTCATTTGCATCAAGTTTTGCATATATCTGAAAGGCAAAAGCTTTCAAAAGTTCACCTATGAACAAATTCTCAAGGATCAATACACTAAAATCACCTGAAAATATTAATAATTATTCTTCAGACTGCACATGAATATAAACGTATGAAAATAATAGACCAAATATAAAAAAGTTTGTGCAATTTAAAAAATTTGAAAAATCAGAAAAAATTAAATATAAACAAACTCAACCAGGCAAAGTCAAATGTTTTCAATGAAATTCAAAATCTTTTTACTTAGTTTACAGGCGTGGACACCGTTTACGCTATTTGAGCCAAATTTATAACAACGCGCCACTCATTCCTTTTTCTAGGTGCTTGGCGCCAATTGGAGATACCAAGTAGATCCAGGTCCCTTTCTAGCTGGTCTTTGCAACGGAGCGGAGGTGTTTCTCTTCCTCTGCTTCTACCTGGTGGGTACTGCATCGAAAACTTCTAAGTATAGAGTATTCTTACCAATCCGTACCACATAACACAGCCAACTCAGCCGCTGTTGCAATCCAACGGCTGCGATATTCGCCGTTACTAACTCGTAGAGAACCGTAAATCTTACGCAAAAATTTTAGCTAGAAAACTCCAAACGCCGACTTATGCGGTTTTGCTTATAATATTTTGCTGATGTGTCGCATCATGTCATTCTATTGTATACGGCGCTGAAAACGTCTTTATTCGCGCCAAAAGTTTGTCGATTCGATCGATTGACTCAGTACGTTGTGAGCGCTCGTCAAAGATGGACCCCAGCAAAGAGAAAATTCGATAAAATTTTACAATTTTTCTTCGATCAAGGCGAAAAAGCAGCATAAGCGGCTGAAAAATTTATTTAGTTTATGGGCCCGATACTGTGAACGAACGTGTAGCACAAACTGGTTTCCAAGGTTCCGTTCCGGTAATTCCGATGCCCAGAAGCACCAGATTTTGCTGTATGTTTGGTGGGATTGGCAAGGAATCATCTGCTACGAGCTGCTCCCCTATGGCCAAACGCTGAATTCGGCTCTTTACTGCCAACAACTGGACCTCTTAAAGGCAGCATTCATGCAGAAGAGGCCGAATTTCATCAACAGAGCCCGAATTGTGTTCCATCGGGAAAGCGCCAGGCCACACACGTCTTTGGTGACGCTTCGTAAGCTCCAGGAGCTAAGAAGGGAGGCGAACGCGCTTAATGGTGAGAAGTTGGCCTTAAGAGAGGCCTGTGAAAATTGTCTCTCCGAGTTTTATGCCAAAAGGGACGCAGCCTTCTACGAGAGGAGTATAATGAAGTTTATAGCTCGTTTACAACAAGTTTACGAACAAAACTGCGCATATTTGACTTAAATCGATAATACCAATGATGAGTTTAAGCGTCATCAAAAATTCTAGGAAGAGTGTAAGATTGCTGGCAGATTAAATCGACATCTCCATAATCTGGATCACGGCCATAGGAATATTTTCGATAAAGAAAAGGTTGACAAGTGGGCAAATTCGATGAAAATATCACGTCCGTGAGACACAGAGCAAATGGAAATAGTTATAGATCCAATGTGAGATAACTCAGCAGGACCTGCCCGAGGCGTTCAATACTAAACTAGATTTCAGATGGGGTAGCTCTGAATCGTGCGATTTCTTTAATTTGAACTGGTAAAAAATAATAAAAATAGTAGAGCTGAATAGGGACGCAGTAGACGCTGAACGGACAAGGCGCAATCTTTTATTTACAATTGTGTACAACTATTAGGTAATGCCTTAAAATCCGCTTGACAAAGAAGATCAAGAAAAAATATCTCCGGCCATTAAACAAATAGTCGACGCAAATAGGGCTAGGATCCACCTTACTGTCAGTAACTCCGAGGATGTACACGTTAGATAATTAGGGACCGGATTAACACCATAGGAGAAATGTTGTTGTGGGTGCGGTGAAAATTCATTGAATGATAAACATAAGTACTTTTATTTATTATTTGTTTTGATTTCATTGATTCGTGCAGTCTTTTTATTTATAAAATTGCATAACGCACATATAGTATGTTTTTTTTTTTTTGAGGAAAGAAGACATGATTAGCCGTAAACTGCTAGATTTACCTTGCACTTCAAACTGTCTTACTGCTTCATGGTACTCAAAGATTATAGCCGAAAAGTATGCATTACAAAACTACTAGGAGGGCTAAACTGCTACAACACAAAACATAAAATTATTATTTAAAAACAATATGGCGAGATTTCAAATCTGAAAATGATTAAAAGTATTAACAACGGATAGACTTGGAAAGGTTCCTTTCCACCAAATATATGAATTTTTTCATTTTTAATTAGTCTGTTATATGATGTAATAATCGCAAATGGTAGCTCCGCGCTTTAAGAGCGTATACGATCTAATGGCAACGCCAACAGCTGTTCCTGACAGTTGTCCAATAACAATAGTTGGACTACAATTTATTTGTTGAAACGTTTGTTAGTACAAAACATTTTATGCATTTACATATTTAAATTTGAAACTTCCAATATTTTACAATAGTTGTAGCAAGTAGGTAGTAATGGCAAATATTGTGCAATACATAATTGTTCGTAGCGATTTAAAATCCACATTGGGTTGGCCACTGGGTGCGGTGATAGCGCAATGCTGCCACGCGACAGGCAAGTAAACTCTAGATAAATTACAATGCTATTTCCACAATAAAATCCTTATTGGTTGTTTAACATCTTTCAACTTTCATTTTCTGTCTAAAGAAATCATCTCATTTCCTTCCTGTTTTAATTACAGCTGCTGTTATGCACTTATACGCCGATGATGAGGATACAGCATCCTATTTAAAAGACTTAGACAATATGCATAAAGTAGTATTGGAGGTAAATGTGTGAGGACTCTAGTTTTAATTTAATACATAAACTCAGATTTATGGTTTCTGCTTTTCGTAGGCTAAAGATGAAGCATCGCTAGTGAAGTTGGCGGAAAAATTGGAAACAAATGAAATTAAGCATAAAATGTGGATTGAACAGCCGGAAAATATACCAACATGTATAGCTATTAAGCCTTATGTTAAGGACAATGTGCATAAGTTTGTGAAAAACCTTAAACTGCTAAAAGAATAAACATATATTGAAATAGAAAATTTTAAAAATTAATTTTAAAACAAACTAGGAAATTAAATTTCAAAAGTTGTAATTTCAAATGGTTTCAAACAGACTTAGGAAACTACATTTTTAATTTGAATTAATAAATTGAATTGGGCAGCAGTTAACTAATATAAAACTGAGAAAATTTATTTGGCAAGAACTTCCGCCGATCTCCCGACATTTGACCAGAGCTTGTTTGGCACTATTCAATTGTGAAATCAAAATACACGTGTAGTTAGAGATTCATTTTTTTGTTGTTAAATACAATTTTATTAAATATATTAGTTACATTTGCAAAAGTATTGTCCAAGTAATTTAAAACTAAGAATGAACAACTAAATATATATACGTGCATAAGATAAACATAATTTAACTTATATGTATGTAGTTTTAATATTTATACCTTAATTTATGCAAATCGTTTATGATGTAAAATATGTAGATGTATACGATTATAAATATGTTTATTATGTAAGTAGTTAGTACTGATTCTCATTTCGTTAAAAAAAAACTTCAAGTATGGATTTTTAACATTGGCATTGGCAAATGATAATCGAAATTAATCCATTTTGGATTATTGCCATGTTTTTTATTGCATTTAGCTGTTATGGATAGTAGTATTTATTGAAGATATAAATCTATATACATGTTTAAATAGCGACCGTTTTTGGAGTGATTTGGTTCATAAGTTAATAAATCAAAATTATGGGCTTAGACTTTTGATAATTAATTACTCCTAGTTTTGTTTTATTTATAAGACTAAGCACTATTTTAAAATTACAAATAACTATTCGTAAATAATATTAATCGTATTTCGTTGACTTCGATATACATAAATACTTGTTAGAGCTAATGGTGTTACAACTAACATTTCGCGTATAGTTGCAAGGTAGGTAGTAAAAGGAGATTTGCAGACTTGCTTTGAGCTGCGCGTCTGTTTGTTGACCATAATTTATTGAGTTCGAGTTTGCTTGCAAAAATAATATAAAGTTAATTAGTTCACGCTTTTATATGTATATAAGCATGTTTCCATGTACATATGTTTAATTTCGAGCAGGCCTTTGTATCGCATTTAATTCTTCTTTAAGCCACTGCTGCCAGTTTTCCTGCAAAATTATTTGAACAAACATTAAGTTTTGGCAATAATGGGATTTTTAAAAAGCAGTGAGAGCAAACATTTTAATAATTAAATAGAATAAAAAAACTACAAGAAGGTAATAAATACAACTAAAGAAAATAGAATGTAAACCAAGTTAATTAAACAGAATAATATAAAACAAATTAAAGAAAAATAAATTAAAATGAAATACAATAAAATTATAAAATAAAATTATATCAAAGAAATTGAAGTAAACTAAAAGAATTAAAAACAAAATAAAATAAAACAAAATAAAATAAAGCAAAATAAAATAAAATAAAACAAAATAAAAAATAAAAGTTATATACAATAAAATAAAATAATTTAAAATAAAATTAAAAGGCTGAAATAAAAAAATTGAAAATAAACAAATTAAGATAAAACAAAATAAATGAAATAAATTGAGATATAATAAAATGAAGAAATATAAAATAAAAAAATAGAAGTTAAATACAATAAAATAAAATAAAATAAAATAAAATAAAATAAAATAAAATAAAATAAAATAAAATAAAGTTAAATAAAATAAACGAAGTAAAGTAAAATAAAATGCAATAAAATGGAGTAAAAAAAATGAAATAATATAAAATAAAAGAGAATTAAGTAAAGTAAGATAAAGCAAAATAAAATCAAATGTAATAAAGAAAACAAAACTAAATAAAATAATATAAAATAAAATTAAATTAAATGGAATTATATATTTATTGATAATAAACAGAAATTTAAACTGTAGTTACTTTTTTGTAAAGCTTTGAAATTCCACAACCAATGGCAGCAGTTAGTGTACACCTTTCAGTTTTAAATTAGCAACTCTATTAATAAATGTGCGATAATTTAAGCCGTAAACGATAAAATCCAATAATTTCGATTCACACATATTAAAAGCAGCGTGAGTGTTAGAAATAAAACTAATTAAATATACAATAAATTATTTAAGAGCTACGAATTATTAAGCTAAACCGTTAGCAATTAACTAGTATAGTGGTTTGAAGAGCATAACCAAAATATATTAGTAATAATGTGTGCTAGTGCATTTTGATTTTGTTTTGATAATGGTTCTAAATATGTTAAAAATATTCAAAAAAGATCCTAACGGTGAAATGTTTTTTTTTTAAATTTGCCATAAGGATTTTATTCAATCTTTCTGCCAAACCATCTGCTGTTCGAAATAATGGAATAAATTTTTCTACACAACTGAATTTAGCACTCGATATTATTAACAACATATTACATACATAGGTAAAAGTAATACTTTTTATGTGCTTTTATTGTTAATAAGAAACAAAATTGTTCTAAATCTACTATTTTTCCAGTTGAATGTGCGAAGCGAAATTTTAGTTTGATTTATTGCTTTTTGGTGAAAGTGCTGACTTTGACGAGGTAAATGTCGTGAACGCTTCTTTGCCCTCTTTCCATTCCTTAATCATTATTGTGCAAATTCTCTGCGTATTCATCGTATTCTTCTTCGGCCTCGTTTTGCTCATCTTCTTCCTCCTCCGCCTCATAGTCGCTAGTATTGCTCTCATGGGCTGTCACATCGGGCAGATAGTCTTTGTGCACGGGTGTAGAGATGACTGGCTCCTAGAGAGGAGTGTTATTAGTGCGCATACATATGTGTGAGTGCGTAAGAAATTATTTGCAAGAAAAAAAAATTCAAATCAATTGTCTACTTTATATGGAATGTCTGTGTTACGGTTGGTCTATGACAAATGACATGCAGCTGCTGTTACGCTTTGTTATTGCTAATGAAGGCGGTACAAAATTTTGAAAACCAACACCAACACAAAGAAATTACTGTCACTATGAAATACATTAAATATTACTATATATTCTGCCCACTTCATGCTAACCTTTGGTGGTCGCCAGCCACAACCCGGTAGTGGCAAGCCATCTGAGCCCAGCGGACAGGGTGCATCCAACCCGGGTACACCCTGTTCACCCTTGTCGCCGCGATCACCTTTACGTCCGCGCTTGCCTGGTGGTCCAGCGTCACCACGTGAACCCTTCTCGCCTCGTGGTCCTTCCTGGCCAGGTATGCCGTCAGTGCCCTGCACATCCCAACATTGCGATACGTAGCAGTTTGGCATACACGCATATACACATTGTTAGCAATACCAACATAGATACACATTGAAACACGTTCGGGGGGAAGAGAGGGGTCAGTCAGTAGCAATTCAAATAATTGTTTATCGTTTTACAGTTGATTAATATTGGTTGTGTACGGTTAATTCAATTTGTTTCCACGAAATTACACGAATACGGATTTGTTGTTGTACAAAGTGCAAATGCAATAAAAGTAAGAAAAAAAATAAAAAGAATTGGAAAATGTAGTATGTGCCAGAACATAAAGTACATACATAGATACATATGTGAGCATCAAGAAATAAATACGTGTTTAAGTAATACACATATACATAAATATATATCTACACAAGTGATACTTGATGTTCGCAGACGACTTGTGCCCATTGTCATGCATGCAGCTAATTAAAAAAATATTATAGCAATCCCAAACCCTTTATATAATTATATAATATTAATATTTCAATTTCCTAAATAAAAAGAATTTTTGCTTTTACAACATATTTTTGTGCTAACCGGTAGTCCAGGATCACCGCGTTCACCTTTGTGTCCCGTCTCACCTTGTGCACCCTGCAAGGAAAAAAGTTATATTAGAAAGAACATTTTTGCCGAATTCGTTCATTGCAACCTACCTTCATGCCATCCAGACCTGGTGGACCCTGCATAGGCGAGAATAAAAAAAGTATGAATAAAAAAAATTTTTCTTTTAATAAAAATATAATATAATGGATGAAGAAAAAATGTAAAAATGAAAATATTAACATATATTTTTATTTACACAGGGGGTGGTATTTTGCTCGATCCTTTGATAAAACAATTATATTTATATTAAGTTAATTTTATATTGTCATAATTTATTCAATATTCTATTTTTTTATTATATTCTGTTTCGTCTCATTATCTTTCTTTCATTTCTCATTTTATCTTTTTTTGTTGTCTAATTTATTTTAATTTAATTTTTTCTTGTTTCTATTTTTGCTGTAGTTTATTTTGTTTTACTTTATTTTTAATTTTATTAAGCTTTTCTGAATTATTTTCTTTATTTTATTCTACAGTATTTTATTTTAACTCATTTTGCTTATGTTATTATTATTTAATTTGTTTTTGCTTGATATTATTTAATTTAAATTTGTTCTATATTCCTTTATATTGAGTCTTTTGTTGCATTTCAGTTTTTTATTTATTTTAATTTTTTTATTTTATTGTTTCAATTTGAGTAAATTTTATTTTTATAGCTGTCATAAAATGACACTAAGTTTGATCCGACGTCTGTCTGTTTGTACACAGTTTTAAAATATTTCAATCAATGAATTACACATTGCTACTGTAAATCATTGAAATCGAACGACTATAACACATATGTTCCGTACAGCGATTTGATAAGAAATGAGACTTTGATAAAAGCTACGGTAAAAGAGGTTCTTAGAGCAGGCATTTTGGTACGAAGGATTCGTATCGAGCGTTTCGTTCAAACTGAAATAATGTCAATGATGTTTGAATAAAAAATACTTCAAAATATCACCCGCAATATTTGGTAGTATGCACTCTTGTCAGCAAAAAAAAACTAATCCTAAAAATCATTAAAAGTGAATTTTGCATTTCACAATAATTTCGATAAATTCATAAAAGTTAACAAATCTTTGTCATGGTCGAGGACAGCGCCTCTTGCCTGTTTTTTTTATTTATTTTATTTCATTGATCTTACTTTGTTTTTTAATTAATTTAATTATATTTTTTTTATTATATTTTATTTCAATTTCTTTTATTTTAATTTTAATATAATTCTATTTTTTATTTTTTGTCTTTGTTATTTTATTTAGTTAAAAATTAAATAATTTTAATTTATTATTGGATTTTATTTAATTTTAGTTTATTTTATATTATTTAATATTTTATTGTATTTTTTATTTATTCCATTTTATTTTATTTCATTTTATATTATATTTTATCTTATTTATTTCACTCATATTTTGTCATATTTATTTCATTTTGTTTTGTGTTATTTTTGAATTTAATTATATTTATAATTTGTTTTTCCGGCCATGCTATATTAATTTTATTAAGTAAACTACGAGGTCTTGTTGTTTGTATGAATTGAATATATGTTATACAACAAAGAAAAATGGTAGAAGTGACAGCTGTCTCGGAGATCACCACATCTCCTGATCAGACTTAACAGGCGAGTGTTCTACCACTGCGCCAACATCAGCCATATAACCTGTTGTTGTATTATTCAATCCATTATTAACCAACAACTATTAAGTGCGCTAATCCCTGTCATAAGAAGTCTGATGAGGAGATGTGGTGATCTCCGAGACAGCTGNATTTTATTTTATTTTATTTTATTTTATTTTATTTTATTTTATTTTATTTTATTTTGTTTTATTTTTTTATTTTATTTTTTTATTTTATTTTATTTATTTTTTATTTTATTATATTTTATTTTATTTCATTTTATTGTTCTAATTCAATTTAACTTTATTTTATCTTATATTATTTTTTTCATTTAATTTTATTTTTTTGTTTTATTTCATTCTATTTTATTTTAACTTATTATTTTATTTCATCTCATTCCGTTTTATATTGTTTTAATTTTTTAATCTTAGTTATTTTAATTTAGTTTAATTTATTTTTTTTAATTTTATTTAAGTTATATTTATTTTATATTTTTATTCTATTTTATTTTTATACTTTTTTCATTTCATTTTATATATTTTTTTATTTTCTTTTGTTTTATTTTATTCTTTAATTTTATTTGAATTTATTATAAACTTATTTTTGTTGAATGTTTCTTAAATCGTTTACATATAATTTATTTTATCTTTTTATTTTTTATTTTATAATAATATTTTTTTAAATTTATTTTGATCTTAATCTAAAAATAATAATTAATTTAAATATTTAGAATAACAGAAATAAAAAATTTTATTTTATTTAAATTGATTATTATTTTATTTTATATGAATTGATGAGTATTTTAATTTATTTTTTTATTTTTATTTTAATTTTAATTCTATTTTATATTAAATAGTTTTATTTTATTAAAATTATTATTTTTTATTTAGGTCCTTGATGCATTATTATTATTTCCTTACATATCATTGTTTAAAACGTATTTTATTTTGCTTTATCATTTTAGTTTTATGGTCAGATCCTCTTTGTCTTGTTTTTTCATAGGAGGTGAAGTATGAAATAAATATTATATACATATATGTACATTTGAAGAATATTAGTTTGTGTTAATTGCCACCTTTGCAGTACAAGGTCAGAAGCAGTCATACACTAATAAGATTATTCAAAGTTAGTCGATACTTTTACCCGCTCCATGCAATAGTAATAAAACAGTTAGTTGGTTATTTGTAAAAAACTCAGTATTTTCATTCTTTTTTTTATTATATTTGCAATGTTCATAATAGAAAAAAATATGTACGCAAAATGTTTGAGATTTCAATAAAAAAAAATATAAAAAACTAAATTAATTAATAAACACTTTCACATTTCATTTCTAACATAATTTGCTTGCATTTGTATATGTATGTACTTATGTACTTGTAATTTTGGTTTATCAGTAAATTTTACTTGTTTTTGTTTATGCAAGTATATGTATGTATAACTGCACATTTGCATTATTTGTGCAAAAAAATAATATAAAAAAAGTATAAATAACAATGTTTTAGCATGCGAAATGCATTACTGACGTACAAATGTACATTCCAATGGCAAAGTTTTCGTCTTTTTATTTGGCATTTTCATTGTTTCGTAATTGTAATTGTAAATATTTTTGCATTGCATTAACATAGCACAGCAGTTTGGTTTTCATACTTAGATATTGTTGTTGTTGTTGTTTGTTTGTTTTTAATTGTATATAATAATGCATGAATTGACATTTAGAAATACAAATTACACAGATACACACAAAAAATGAGCCTTATCTTCTTTATATATTATTAATTATGCATAATTCGAAATATAAATAAAGAAATAAATAAGTAAATATATATATTAACAATTTACAATATTTATAGCTTTTGTTTGAATTTCGCTTTCGTTCCTCATTTCCACTCGTTTTGCTTAGTATCATGTAATTATTATCATTAAAGGTATTTTTTGCTCAATTTCCTTTCATTATTCTAGCCTAAAACTAACAAAGAACTTGGGTGTTCACATACACGTAGCATTCAGTGTAAGTATATATAATATGTATGTATAGTATGCATTTTTATGCATTAGGTTAGATAGTTGTTAGGAATTAAAGAAATGTTAGAGTGAAAAAGAGTGTGCTGGAAGTTTCACAAGTATTTATAAATATATGTATGTATGTAATAGTATTATGCCTTAATTAAGATGAATGTGTCTTTAAGGAAAATTAAAGTTCTTTTTTGTTGTTGCGGTTTTTTTTTGTTTGTGGTGTAAAGTTTTTGGACGATTTTGCGTAGGTAAAAAGGATCATGCATTCCCAATTAACTAATTTAAAAAGTTATTTACATTAATATATTATTTAAAATGCAATATTTTATGCGAGCAAGTCGATTTTTTTGTTGGATTACTGTGAAGCGAGCTAGAGGAATTGACATCGATGCTGCTTTTTAGCTCTAAAAATACATATTCGCTGAATTATCTTTGGTTGTTTGGAAACTTGGTTAATTGAACTCAATTGACATTGAAACGTACAAGGAATTTTCTGGTTTTCTCTATTCATATTTACTTCTTCTCTCTTCAATATTATGTTTTATACTAATGGAGATTCTTTTTTTTATAAATTTTTTTTATACATATGTATGTACTGTATTTTTTCGCTTTTTTCTTTTTTAGCTAAAATCACTTTTAGTTTTAATAGTGTATGTTAGCTTGTTGCAATTACAAATATTATGCCCCTTTATATACATACATACACTGTTCTTATTATACATATGTTTTGTTTTCTTGTCATGTGCCGTTTAAATATATTTATTTGTCGGAATCTTGTTGAAAGTTTTCTACTCGATTTAGCTTTAGTAAATATTTATACATATTATTGAGATGTCATTGAAACCCATAAGATATTGAAGATATTATTACGCTTTTATTTTATTTATTAATAATCCTAATCGAGTATTCATTGAAAAAAATAAAATTAAAAAAAAAAACTAGTTAGAAAGTTCAAATCAATGACGAATGATAGATAGTTTAAGTAATTATAATTGGATCCAGTAAACGTAAAGAGGCAAAAACCGAAAAATAATAAATAAAAACTTGTAAATTATTTATACATGTAATAAAAAGGTATTATTTTTAATTTTATTTTAATTTTCATTTTTTTGGCCATTCTCCTTGGCTTTTCATACAGTTTGTAATACGCAGATTTCACATTTTCTCGGAAAACATCTTAGGCCTGTTTAAAAAGTGAACTTTTTTAAGGGTTTATATGTATTTATTCGGGGAAAAAATCTATTTTCCATTTTACTATTCGGTTTAATATAAACATTAAAGTTTTTTTTTCGAACTATTTACTGTTTAGGGGCCGTTTTTCGAGTGTCTGTTTTAAGGTCTCTTTAGGTGCGTTTTCGTTTTCAACTGCCCGTTTTACTATATATGTTTATATATTTGGCGCTTTGTAACCGCTGCCGCGATAATTCAGCCGAACTCCTCCTACAATTTGTGGTTTTGCGTCTTGATGATT